CCCCCCCGGCATTGTCTACAGGAGGCAGTGCTCCCCCGGCACTGTGCATGTGGGGCAGCCTGACCCCCAGCTGCACCAGGCAGTGCCGCAGGGCTCTCCCAGCCCCCCACCCCCGGCCTGGCACTGACCAGCTGTTGCACTGGTGGTGGATGGTGCTGCCGGCTGGGTACTCTCTCGCCCGCTCCTCCTGCGACAGGTTGGAGGCCCATGGCACGGCAGGTGCAGGGACCAGCGAACAGCGGCATTCCTCCGGGGGCGCACACGCCCCGTCCTGCAGCACCTGCAGCCACACAGCAGCTGCCACTTGCCCCCAGAAACCAGGCTGGGGAACCCCCTGTCCCCCCAGAGACCCAGGCTGGGGAACTCCCTGTTCCACCCCAAGACTAGGCTGGGGAACCCCCTGTCCCTGCAGAGACCCAGGCTGGGGAACTCCCTGTCCCACCAGAGACCGGGCCTGGGAACCCCCTGTCCCCACCCACCAGAGACCAAGCTGGGGAACCCCTGACCCCCCCCGAGACCCAGGCTGGGGAACCCCTGTTCCACCCCAAGACTAGGCTGGGGAACCCCCTGTCCTACCAGAGACCGGGCCTGGGAACCCCCTGCCCCTCCCCGAGATCCAGGCTTGGGAACCCCCTGTCCTCACCCACCAGAGACCAAGGTGGGGAACCCCTGACCCCCCCGAGATCCAGGCTTGGGAACCCCCTGTCCCCACCCACCAGAGACCCAGGCTGGGGAACCCCCTGTCCCTGCAGAGACCAGGCTGGGATGCCCCTGCCCCCCCTCCAAAGACCAGGCCGGGGAACCCTCTGCTTTCCCAGAGACCAGGCTAGGGACCCTGCCCCACAGCCTGGGAAGGAGGAACCCGGGGTCCCAGGGAGCCAGCCCTTGTCCATCCCCAGCAGACTCTGTCCAGGCCCCGCAGCTGGGGGGCTGGGGCCGTGGGTGCAGGCGCTGTCACAGGGACCCCCGTGCGCCAGTGGTAGGAGACCCTCTGCCCTCCGGGCTGCTGGGGTAGGGATGAGCCCGGGGGGAGGGGTGGGGAGGCGGCTCCCCTCCCCCGGCTCAGTGCCAGGCAGGGGGTGTCCGTGGCAGGGGGCCCAGAGGGGCCAGAGCCCAGCCCGGGGCCCCACGGGGTAGGCAGGGCTGGCGTCTCAGACCCAGGAATCAGTGTCCTGCCGAGGGGAGTGACATTGGGGGCAGAGACCCACCTGGCCGGGAGGGCAGGCGCAGCCAGGCTGGCACTCCTCCCGCAGGCACTCGGTCCCGGGGCGCAGGTCGGAGCAGGTGCGGGGACAGGCGTTGGCGCAATCGCTGTACACCTGGGGGCCCGGGCACTCTGCACAGAGCAGAGGAGGGGCAGGTCACACTGGGGAGCCACGAGCCCCCCAGCCTGCAATACACTGCCCGAGGGGGACTCATAGACCACGGGCAGGGGCGTCCACAGCCCGAGAGTCTCCCCTGCCTCAGACGCGCCAGATGGGGGTTCCCCTCGCCAGGCATGCCGTGCCCACATACGGACGGGGTCTCCCCTGCCCCAGATGCGACACGCCCACGTACGCACGGGATCTCCCCTGCCCCAGACACGCCGTGCCCATGTGCGGACGGGATCTCCCCTGCCCCAGACGCGCTGTGCCCACGTACGGATGGGATCTCCCCTGCCCCAGACGTGCCGGCCCACGTGCGGACAGGATCTCCCCAGCCCCAGATGCACCGTGCCCACATGCGGACGGGATCTCCCTGCCCCAGACGCGCTGTGCCCATGTGCGGATGGGGTCTCCCCTGCCCCAGACGCGACGCGCCCACGTACGGACGGGATCTCCCCTGCCCCAGACGCGCCGTGCCCACGTACGGACGGGATCTCCCCTCTCCCAGACGCGCCGTGCCCACGTACGGACAGGATCTCCCCTGCCCCAGACGCGCCGGTCCACGTGCGGACAGGGTCTCCCCACTCCCAAATGCGCCGCACCGTATGCTGACAGGGACTCTCCCCCAGGTCCCACTGGGGGGGTCTATGTGACATGCTGGACGCCGGCTGCAGGCTCTAGGGGGCGCCGCTCTCTCCCCTGACCCCCCCGCCTAGCCCGTACCTGGCGTGCAGTTGTGGGTGTGGCAGGCGCGGTGCAGCAGCAGGGGGGCAGGGCAGTGCTCCCCCCGGCCCTCCCCTGGGGACAGCAGGCTCCGGCTCCGCTCCGACACGCCCCCCCCACAGCTGGCGCTGCAGGGGCTCCACGCCGACCAGGGGCTCAGCTGGCAGCCGGCTGCAAGGGCAGGGCAGGGTCAGGCGGGGGGCAGGGCTCAGGGAAGGCAACGACCGGGGGGTGCAGGTTGTGGGGGGGATCCCGGGGCACCAGGGAGGTGCTCACTCCTTGGGGATACAACAGGCAACAAGGGCAGCAGCTGCTGAAGGGCCCCAGATGGCCATGGGGCCGGCACCCACCTGGGCAGGGCTGTGGGACTGGCTCCGTGGGGCTGGCACTCACCCGGGCAGGGCCGTGGGGCTGGCTCCGTGGGGCTGGCACTCGCCCAGGCAGGGCCGTGGGACTGGTTCCGTGGGGCTGGCACTCACCCGGGCAGGGCCGTGGGGCTGGTGCTGTGGGGCTGGCACTCACCCGGGCAGGGCTGTGGGACT